GTGTGTGTGTGTGTGTGTGTGTGTGTGTGTGTGTGTGTGTGTGTGTGCGCGCGCGATTAGAGTTTCAGAAATCCTCCAATAGAGACTAATGACATTCATCCTGAGCTTACAGTTCTTGGCATAATTCAACATTTTGGAAAATGTATTTTAGTATATATATATATATATTTTTTTTTTTTCTGAGAGTGAAATGATAAGTTCAATATTAATCTCATGCAATAAATTCAGAGCAGGAATATAGAATGTGTATAGCCTAGCTTAGCATAAAGACCGTAGGTGGGGGAACAGCTGGTCTGGCTGCTCTGTCCAAAATGAAAAACACACAGACCTACACATCTAAAGGGCAACTCATTGTCACTCATTGTCACAATGACCCATGGTGGTATCTGTATTATTCATCTGTTAGTCTCCTGTTTCCTCAATGCTGATTTTGGAATGCTTTTCACCTCTTACTGCTGGACAGAAGTACTTTGTGGATGGATAAGATAAATCCACCCCAAATCACAAAAGCTTCTTTTTTTTTTTTTTTTTACATTTCTGTTTATGCACAGGTTGAATAAACAAAATCCATTTTGTAAGTAAGGCTGCGTTAAAAAGCATCTTTTCCACTTTGGAGAAGAGCCACTGTATGTACCACTACTTCCTACCCCTAAAACAAGAGTCATCATTTCATCTTTAAGCATATAGTTGCAGGAGGTGATTTTTGACACCAGATGGCACCAGAGTAGAAACAGTCAAATGGAAAAAACAACTAGTGTTGTGAGCTTTGAGATAATATATCACTTCATCTAATTATCTTGGATAATGAGGTGATAAAAACATCGCCTGAGTTATTGAGACATCCAGCAGAAAACCAGCAACATGGGTATTTGTCTCTCTTTGTAATGTGACATTACATAGAGTGATTCCATTCATTGTTAGTTTATAAAAAATGACGCCCTCATACTAAGAGTTTGTGGACGTCATTATGTGGTGAGACTGAGTCCAGGCTATGAGGTGTTCAGAACATAATCTTTGTCGCTGCAGAGGATGCGGCGCTGCGAAGTCGTCTGACGGAGTGTCTGGAGACCATCCTCAACAAAGCCCAGGAGCCACCCAAGTCCAAGAAGGTCCAGCACTCCAACGCAAAGAACGCCGTTCTGTTCGAGGCCATCGCCCTCATCATCCACTACGACAGGTTGGCCACCTCCGCCGTGAATTCCCCCATTGGGTCACTAGATAGGCTTTAAGCTAACCGTATTTGCCTCACGACATGTTGCATTGTGTGTTAGTTTTCAGTCCTTCTGTAGACGCCAGACTGTAACACTGCATTAAAAGCACTAAGATTTATGAACCTCTCATCTAGGTCACAAGGCAAACCCAGCCATCATTAGTTCACATTCTAGTGTATTTCTTTTGGAAGTTGAAATGTGTGTTGGCATTCGGACCCTACAGCTAGTCGTTGTATCTCGTCCGTTGCAGCGAGCCCACCCTGTTGGTACGAGCCTGCAACCAGCTGGGCCAGTTTCTGCAGCACAGGGAAACCAACCTCCGTTACTTGGCTTTGGAGAGCATGTGCACGCTGGCCAGCTCCGAGTTCTCTCACGAGGCAGTGAAGACGCACATAGACACTGTGATCAACGCTCTGAAGGTGAGTCAGGTGAAGGTGTGCCTTTTGACAAGCTCTGGCAGGTTAATGTGGAAATGATGAAACCTGGTGGGTGTTTGGGTGTTGATGTTGTTTTTAATCCATCTGATCAGTGGGGAGCTATGGAGTCTTGAAAGTGCCCCTGGAATTGTTATGCAATTTTTCAGTGGTTATTTATGATCACTTAATTGATAGTTGCCTCTAAAGACAACTTATCGAGTGGGGTTTTTGCTCTATGAAGGATTCATAAAACCTTTTAGTATTAAAATAGTGTCGAAGAGAAGTTAGAGAAAGGCGCCTTTCGCCCTTAAACAGGAAGTTGTTTTAACAATCTGCTCCATTCCGCCCTCGGCACCCAGGAAGGTGCGAGGTCCCGTTCATTCTTTAATTCTGTTTATTATAATTCTGTTCTCATTCCGTTAAGGCTCATTGTAACTGATAATAATAACAATAATAATAGTGTAATATCATATACCGTGGAACATTTTCTGAGATGGTTATCATACCGTGAACATCTTAAACATTACAACCCTAGAAGTTAAATCCTGCAAATTATTTTCCCAGATCGCTCTGCCATAACAGTTTCACATAAAATGAGTCATTGCTTATAAAGTTGTTGGTCAATTTATAGTTATTTATGATAATTCAACATAATCCACACTGGTTGTCTGTGACACTAATGAACCGAGACGTCGCTCAAGCTCCGCTTTGTAAACGTTTCCAGGCTTTCTCTTGAACCTTCTGACCAAGCTGATTAATTCAATCTCCACGGGACATAAATACACCTTCTTTACACAGATGTATCATTGGTGCTGTGGATGTATTACTCAGCAGAACTGTGTGTGCGTCCACCACCAGCTCTTCTGGTTCTAAGTACTTCTGAACGATCAAAAGATTCTGTTCATTTCAGTCTTGGAGTACTTAAAGGCATAATTTACCCCAATTTGCAACAGCCTGGATTTAATTCAGCAATTCGGTCAAATCGATCGGCTGCATTGGGATTTAAGTAGCTCCAGCTGATAAAATCTGGCAGAGACATTTGTCATGCATTCTGTTCGTGTTTGTTTTCCTCACAGACGGAGCGAGACGTGAGCGTCCGCCAGCGAGCTGTGGATCTGCTCTATGCCATGTGCGACCGCAGCAACTCCAAGCAGATCGTGGCAGAGATGCTGAGCTACCTGGAGAACGCCGACTACTCGATCAGAGAGGAGATAGTGGGTCACCAGCGCAGGCCTGTTCACCATTTCCCCCCCCTTCTGTGTGCGGCTCCCACCCTCAGCCGGTTGCTTTTTCTCCCTTAGGTGCTCAAGGTGGCGATCCTCGCGGAGAAGTACGCCGTGGACTACACCTGGTACGTGGATACCATTCTCAACCTCATCCGCATGGCCGGCGACTACGTCAGCGAGGAGGTGTGGTACCGCGTCATCCAGATCGTCATAAACCGAGACGACGTCCAAGGCTACGCGGCCAAGACCGTCTTTGAGGTGAAGATTTATTGAAGTCAAGCTGGGACGCATCTTTGTCTTAATGCACTGTGAACTACATTGATTTTGTGATGACTAAGGTCAAGTTTTACCAGTGGCAATCAAAAGAGACCCTTTAGCCCAATAACACTAAGAAATCCTCAAGGAGCCTTCACATTGGGAAACTAGTGAGGGATTGTATCCTAGTTGCTGGACTATATGAGGTCCACATGGACATGGTTGGCTGGCTGGTTACCACCTGTTCCATTGTAACGGCATACTTGCAGTAGGTAGCAGTGTACATTCCTCATGTCGTCATGCTTTGTGAACCCTCGTAGGCGCTGCAGGCTCCCGCCTGCCACGAGAACCTGGTCAAGGTGGGGGGTTACATCCTGGGAGAGTTTGGCAACCTTATTGCCGGTGACTCTCGCTCCAGGTAAACAGCATCCACATACAGGACATACAGGACAGAGCAATCCATGCTTTTGAAAGTCTAATTTCAAAATAGAAGGTTGGTTCTCCCAATCTACAAGGAAAAAAATGAGTTTTGAGAAAAAAAATTTTGGTGCTCAAAGCATTATTAAGCAATTCCACATCAATGTCTCTTGTTACCCTTATCTTTAGACCTATTTTTTTTGTAAGAAGTATTTTTATGAAGCCAAACTATCTGCATGGCTAGATACAACCAGCCTTATGTTAGAAAATATGTATTTGGGTGAACCAAACCTTTAAAGAAATGCTACTGACACCAATATGCTGTCTTACAACTAAACATGGTGCTGTGTTGACCACAGGAAACGAGTAGAATATTATATACAAGAGCAATATTGACTTCATTTTGTGATCGGAGCTGAATGTGAACGTCCAGAGGTTTCACCGCTTCGTGTCGTCTTCTCCTTCAGCCCGCTGGTCCAGTTCGACCTCCTCCACTCCAAGTTCCACCTGTGCTCCGTGCCAACTCGGGCACTGCTGCTGTCGGCCTACATCAAGTTCATCAACTTGTTCCCTGAAGTGAAGGCCACGATCCAAGAGGTCCTACGCTCAGACAGCCAGCTCCGCAACGCCGACGTGGAGCTTCAGCAGAGAGCCATCGAGTACCTGAGGCTCAGCTGCATCGCCAGCACCGACATACTGGTTAGTGAGTTATAGATGAAATACTGATCACGCTTAACTGTCTCACACACACTCGAGCTTTCACGGACACACTGTTAGAATAATTCATTTGGTTTTGCTTCTGCTACTTCAGTCACTTGGTTGTTCTGTGTTACTCTTCCTGTGCCCGCTATGTGAGCCATTATTCCATGACTTTCTCTGTCAGGCTCACTTTTGGAGATACAAATACTTTTCAGCTTCCCGACATATACCCACATTAACTCACACACACTCTTTACGGTAACCTGCTACATAGAATAAATCTGCCGTCTGAAATCAATACAAAGATTGTAAAACGAAAACCTTCAGGGAGAAACGGCAGAGACGCTACATCACTCAGTAAAAGCCAATGCATTTAATGAGTGAGGACAAGATCTGTCACGTCCAGTTTAAATACGATCAGCGGATTACAATGGTTGAGTGAGCGATCACGTTGTGCAATTGCTTTCGCAGTAATTAGTAGTTAATTAGAGCAGCATGTTGCTCTGGCTCATTTATTTTCTGTGAAGTCGAGACACAAACACACAATCGGTCACAATAAAGTTAAGATTGGGATTAAAATGCAGGTCAAAGTCTCTGCAAGTCTGGAAAGTTTGATAACCACCAGCAAGGACACATTTAGCCGAGTCTGCATGAGTCTCATCCTGTTTGCTAAGGGGGCTCCGATTGGGATTTTAAGGGCCGATCGCTGGAACCAGCCTCAGCTGGTCTTGATCACAGGGGTCTACTTGCAGCCTCCTATTTATTGTGTAGCATTATTTATTTATTTTTACCAACATTGTATATTATGTATTCAGTGGTTTCTTTACATTTACCTGGCAGTCCTTTACAAACGCCCAAAAAGCATAGCTATGCTCCGACCCAAGGTGTCTGAAAACCGCAAACGCCCTCAAGGACATTTGAGCCATTCTTGCGTCTCCCCCTCCTCCCGCATGCTTTTCCTCCCTCTGAGTGTGCAGCCATTTGGAACAGCCATAAACATTTTGTTGCCCTCAGACGTGGTCATGTGACACGTTGCTTGGAGCATCAACAGTGTAATAAAAAAACATTAGCACCCTGCCTATCTCTACTGTGGGATGCACTATGATGTACTACTTGTAGGTTTTTAATAAGTTATAAAAACTTAAAAGTGAATTGTAAGTCACACTTGTGAGGTGAGAGAACCACTCTTTGTATCATGCTGTGTGGTGCCATATGATTTTATGCGATTTCTCTAGACCTGTGAATCACCATTGCTGTTTGTATTGCACAGGTTTAAGGCGTTACAGTATTGTCTCTCTCTCTCTCTCCCTCCACAGGCCACGGTCTTAGAAGAGATGCCTCCGTTCCCAGAGAGAGAGTCGTCGATCCTGGCGAAGCTGAAGAGGAAGAAGGGCCCGGGCAACGTGCCCGACATCGACGACGCCCGTTGGAATGTCAACGGCAACGGCAACGCCGAGCAGAGCGAGAACGCTGAAGGCACCAACAAGGTAAACCCCGCAGTGGAGCTGTAGAAGTAGCTGTGAAGGAAATCTGGCCAGCAGAGCTTTTTACCAAAGATGTTTTTAATAGAAACCCCACCCAGGAAAAACGTTCACTCCTAACAAGTAAAGAAATGTCACCAGTTTCAATGTGTTCGACTGGAAGCATTCATCCCTAAAACAAGCCTGCATCACACTAACAATATTCTTAAAGTCATGTTCTTTTAGCATTTCCTTGTTCTTCACCTTTACTTGTCTTCTCTCCTTCCTTCCTCCCTCTGTCCTTGTTCTCCTCTTTCTCGTTCCTTTTCTCTTCTTTTCTTTCTCCATCAGTTCTCTCCTTCACTGATGGCAGACCTTCTCCCTACCAACAGACCCCGCCCTGCCTCCTCTAGTCCCACCATGCTCTCTGCTGGGACCATGGTACACCGATAGCTAGAAAAGACACATCGTATGATCAGTTATATAATTATTCATTATCACTGGAGTGGCAGGCAGCCGCTTTTGTCTCTCATATATCCCACATTATATTAGTCATGTTCCTTCCCCTTACTTTGTTCTTATTTACACAAACCAGCACTGAAGAGGTTTGGGTTTTCTTTGCTTGCAATTATAAGGTTTTGACAAATGTTATTTTACTTTCTTTGAAATCCCCACACGCTACACTGCATTAAAGTCAAACGTAAATTCAATGTTGAACCTACAGAGGGCTGAAGTCACAGGACGACCAAAGGGTTTTGATATTCTTCTATCCATCACCAACACACCTTCTCATCTCCATAACGTGGGACCAACGAACGCAACGCACGAGTGTGCTGGCTCTGCCGATCAGAAAAACTATACACTTGTGTTCAGACGTTGATGGGCTTAGTATGTAGCTTCTGTATGTTAAAGTGGATATTTCTTGATGTTTCTCTGCCAGGGTTCCGCCCACCCCTTCACAGACCTGCTGAATCTAAACCCCAGCCCTTCAGCAGGAGCCAGCCTGCTAGTGGATGTGTTGTCCGACAGCTCCACCCCTGCATCCGCAGACGTGTCTGAGGAGAACTTTTCCAGGTGGGACCGTACTGTGAGCTCAGTTGATGAAATCAGCAGAAAGCGCGGTTTCACGTACTGTAGAGTAATCCACATTCCATTAAGTATTACTGGGACAGTTGGATGACACACAAGAGACACGTAAAACAAAAAGAGAGGTCAAAATCCAAACCACAGTGGTATCCTGACTTTCAATCAAAACACTTAAAACACGGGATCTTGCGTTCCCAAAATGGAACTAGATGGTGTCTTTTATTATGTTTTAGGGGTTGTACGTACGTCTGATGTCTCAGGAACGTCCGGAGGGAATTCCTTCCAATTTGGCACAAACGTCCGCTTGCACTAAAGGATGAACTGATTATAATTTGGTTGTCAAAACACGTTTTTTGGCTTTGAGAATCCATACGCTAATTATGACAATTTCACACAAATGTCTTAATAGGATAAAGTGATGAAGTAATGACATTTTGGACTGACATGGATGTAAGCTGCAACTTGATTGGTCGGCGGAGGCGTACAATCACAAGGTGGTGTTAGGGATGCTCAACTTGCTCTACCTTGGGGGCCAGTTAAAAAACAACTATCAGGGGTCTGGTGGATCCTTTTTTGTTGTTGCTTTTTTTTAATGCACTCTGGCACCTTATTTACATCAAAGGTACAAAAAATAAATTGTCATCGTGATTCAATTATTTTCATAGTGTATTAGAAAATGATCTGCGGTCAACCTGGCGGTCAACCTGGCACCCTACCTGACCCACAGGGCATCAGTGAGGCATCACTGTATTAGACCCACCTTGCCTGGTAAACACTCCACTTCCCCAGTTTGTAACAGAGGCTTAAAGGGATAGTTCAGGTGTTTTGAAGTGAGGCTTGAATGGGGTTTCTATCCATAAGCAGTGTATTATCTACAGTAGATGGCAGTCAACACGCCCCCAGTCTGGAGAAACAGACGGGAATACCAACACAGGAGCAAAGCACTGCTGTGGACCGGGGCAGCAGCAAAACCTATTTTAGACACCTAAAAAAAATCAATATCAGTTTAAGTGTACGCTACGTTTAGTATATTTTCTCTGCTTTACCTTCCCGCTGGAGAACTGAAGCTGTTATCTATGCTCTCTTATCTGCTTATTTCCAGCATAGATGGAAACAACTTCAGTCCCCCATCAGAAAGGGCTGTCCGACCTCAGAGTAAAGAGGTGGAAATATTCTAAATATACACTTAAGCTGATTTTATTCAAGGTGGGCCTTTCTTATAGGTGTCTAAAATAGGTTTTGCTGCCCTCATCCTCAGCAGTACATTGCTTTGCTCTTGTGCTGGTCCTCTTGTTTCCCCAGACCAAGCCAACATCTACTGTGGGGTAAAACCACGGCAAGTTCTCAAGAGTTCTTTGTTGTAAATTTGTAATTGTGTGCTTGTGAATTCCAGGTTCGTTTGTAAGAACAACGGTGTTATCTTTGAGAACCAGCTGTTGCAGATTGGACTGAAGTCCGAGTACAGGCAGAACCTGGGTGAGCAGCTTTACTATAGTAGTCGTCTCCAATGTGCTTGAGTTCTGCATCTTTTGCTTTTGTGAAATCTCATCACACCTCATCAGTTTTTAAAGATGCTTCTGACCGGCTAGCATTATTTATATCACTTTAAATGTTTTGGTCAGATGTTGTTACTGAAAGAATGAACTCAAACATAGTTTCCCTGCTGTCGTCTCACAGGTCGCATGTATGTGTTCTTCGGCAACAAGACCTCCACCCAGTTCCTCAGCTTCTCCTCATCGGTCACCAGTAGCGACACCCTCAAGATTCATATCCTGACCACTGCTTGGTAGCTTCTTGTCACAGACTTGACTGTCCCTGTCCCGCCCACAGGAAAGCCCTGCAGTTTACTTAAAACTGAATCAACAACCAGTTGTATGCTAGTGTCCTTTATGTATCTGTAGAGTCCTTGACCCGTCGTCTCCACAGCTGAATGTCCACACCAAGCCGGTCGACCCCACAGTAGAAGGCGGAGCTCAGCTCCAGCAGATCCTCAACATCGAGTGTTTGTCAGATTTCACAGATGCACCGGTCCTCGACATCCAGTTCAGGTTGGTGTCTGGATGCGTACTTTATTCTTCTCGTCTTTTAGTTTAGTTCCACGTGCTAATTTCTGACTCACTGTGTGTGTGTGTGTGTGTGTGTGTGTGTGTGTGTGTGTGTGTGTGTGTGTGTGTGTGTGTGTGTGTGTGTGTGTGTGTGTGTGAGAGAACAGATACGGCGGAGCTCTTCAGAACATTGCCGTGAAACTCCCCGTGATGCTGAACAAGTTTTTTCAGCCCACGGAGATGGCATCCCAAGACTTCTTCCAACGCTGGAAACAGCTCGGAGTGTAAGGCTCACTTTACATTATCAACGCACCACTGTGTCCTGGTTCCTATCATTTGTCCCTGTCAGAAAACAAAAGACAGATCTCTTTAATTAATCAATATCATTGGATCGACAGTGATCTGAAAGTATAAAACACAAGTATTCAGTGTTTAATGGCTGAATGGTCTTTAGTTAGTTCTGTCATACAGTATGTCAGCAGTGGCTGCTATCAGAAGGTCAGTTCTTAAAGGGACGGTTCACCTGTCCTCTTCGGCTGAGCTGTAACGTTAGCTAGCTAGCTCAGTGGTGCTAAGTGAGCTAGCAGTGTCGGTTAGCTTTAAACTATAAACACGAGCCTCAGATAGCCAGTTCTATTTTAGATCTGGTTCCAAGTCGATAAAATACCTTATTGAATCTTTTGTCTCTCCTCTCGCTGTTTCTTAACGTTGTTCATCACACTCTGAAAGCAGGCTTCCTGTCTTTAGCTAGAGTTGCATCCTCTGGTTTTGTCAGTGGCAGATTTATTCAGCTGTAACTAATTCAAAGTAAATAAGGTACTAAGTAAAAGTGAAAGACTACCTCCGAGCTGGCGTCTGTACTCGGCCAAAGATCATATGTAAGGTTAAAGAAGCAACATCTTGAGTGGAAGGGGAGTTTTTGTAGTTCAACAAAGCAGACAGTGTGCTACGTCTTCACTAGGGAAATAATCTCTCTGAAACACGGAGCAGTGTGAAGTGCTTTGGACTGCTCGTGGCATTTAGGTCATGTATAAATGTTAAACTATTGACAGAACGAGGTTCAAACAGGTCATTTATATTGTAAGTAGGCTATCATTCTGTAGTGACGTGTCCTGTTCCTGTCCTGCTGGAGATAAGTGAGTCTCTTCTCTCTCTCTATTCTCCGTGTCCTCAGTCCTCAGCAAGAGGTTCAGACGATCTTCAAAGCCAAACACCCAATGGACACAGATGTCACCAATGCCAAGGTAAGAACACTCACTTCTTTAAGGGTGTAACTGCTCAGCATCAGCCATTCACTGAGATTTGATGGTTCATAATGCTGAATTTATAGCAGCTTTTCTCAAAAATGGTGACGCTGTTTTGGACAGTTGTTTTTGTTGTTATTTTGCACGACACTACTGTAGTTTTTTTTTAAACAAAGTGGGGCATTTAAGTAACTCACAGATTGTCTTGAATCTATTTAGTTCCCATAAGAGAAACCTGTACAAATAGAATGAATGCTTGTTTTATATAACTTACTAACTCGTCAACATGAATGGATTGTGACCATCCCTTTAATAGTTGGTGGGTGATGGTCTTTGTCAGCCACGGTGAAGGCATTTTCCGGTGGGTTCATAAAGTTGCGACAACACAGGTTTTTTTTTTTCCGTCTGAATCCCTGATAATTTGCTTGTTCTGGACCTTTAAGCCGTATCAGCAGATAGGGATTTTCTCCGTTAAAATTAAACCTTTCAGTATTTTAGCCCCTTTAGGATTTCTGTCATGTTGGCTTAAAAGAAACCGAACGAGTGAACCTTGAGTGAAGATTGTTTCGTCACCGGCTGTTTCCTGGGTCAAGAAGGAACTGTCCAGCAGTGGACGTGGATGAGGAAGTACAAACTGTATATGTGCACTAAAAGTACAAATTCAGCATTCAGTCGCCAACTTTAAGATTTAAATTGGTGAAGTTGAGGTATTGAAGTGACTATGGTGCATTGAGACTTGGTCTATGATTTCCTAAAACCAGATTATTCCCCTCATCAATCTGCGGTTCTGTCTACATACAATCATGATGTTTGTTTAATTTCTCTTTTGTAACTTATCTCGCAGATCTTAGGTTTTGGTGTAGCTCTGCTGGATGGGGTGGATCCCAGTCCTGCCAACTTTGTCGGAGCCGGAGTCATTCACACTAAGAACACTCAGGTGGGCTGCCTGCTCAGACTGGAGCCCAACACACAAGCACTGGTAAAGAGAGACACACACACACACACACACAGACTCATCCTTGTATTGAACCTTCATATATCTGGTGTGTGTGTGTGTGTGTGTGTGTGTGTGTGTGTGTGTGTGTGTGT